GTCCTTTTTTCAAATCTTTCACCCACTATCTCCCTTTTTAATCTCTATACCCCTTCCTCATTAATGAGATTGTGTAATTCCGAATCTACCCTTCTTGTTTTTATATTTCTTTTATTTAGTTTAATTAAAAACAAAAAAAAACAAAAAGAAAAAAAAATCGAACCCGACCCCGACTCTCACTCTCCTCACCCTCTCCCCCGCCGCCTCCTCCTCCCAACCCGACGTCGTCCTCGGTTTTTGGTGCCGGAGCTTCCGATTCCGGCGACGTCAGAGGCCCTGCGTTTCTTCTTCTCTTTTGAGCTGTACAAAGCTCCAAAATGCAGGTACATTCTTCAACTATAAGCTTCATATTTGTTTAGATTTTTGAAATTTGATTGTATTTTGGTTGAGAAGATAAATCCTTAGCACATTGGATGTTTGACCATGGGTTCTGGGTTAATTGGGCTATTAGTTGATTAGAATGAATTTTAGACCCAGATTCGTCTTGAATTGCAGAGTTTAGAACCCGGAATCGAAATTCGATTTTGAGTAGAACTAGTAAAACTAGGCACTGTGATAAATATAGTATAACTAGTAATACTGGTAGTACTGGTACAACTAGCATTAATGGTAAAACTGGTAAAACCAAGTAGTACTGGAACTGGTAAAACTAGTAAAACTGGTAAAACTGATTTTGTTTTTTGATTTTTTTTGGCAGGATATAATGAGCGAACGTGTTAGCCTATATTTCAAGTGTGAAGGTCGGATGTATAGTATTATGATCAAGACAAAAGCGAGTGATATAACATTGTCGATGCTAAAAGAAAGGATAAACAAGAAGGTTGGATTTGTTGAGAGCCATGTTAAATTGGAGTTGAGCTACTTTCCGCTAGTGGCAGAATCGAATGAGAGGGAAAAGTGTACGATTTATGATGATGAAGATTTGGATGTGTATTTGACGTCCTTTGATACAGAGAAGCGAAGATGTGTGTTGATTGTGGATGTCACAAAGGTATCGGAACAGCCTGAGCAAGTGATTGAGGATGATGATGATGATGATGTGGCTGTTAGAGTGGACCAAAGTTCTGTTGGTATGAATTATCAAAACCAAATCTGAAAAAGTACTTAGTAATCCTACTATTACCAAATCCTGAAAATAAGTTAAGTTTACACAACCAAATCCACAACCATAAAACAAATAACATAACAACCATCATAACCAAATCTACAACCAAATCCACAACCACATCTACTTTATCTTGGACCTTGTCTTGGGTCTTGTATCAACGTCTAGGGCTAATCGTTTCTCACCTTTCTTCTTCTTCGTCTTCTGCTCACTCTTTACGTATGCTTCCAATTCATTGAACCGTTTCTCAAGTCCATCAATCTTCTCAAAAATGATCTCAAACTTCGAACTCATTTCTTCTTGGAGGCTGTTGACCTGATTCGCCAGATTATTGGAGGCTACCCTCGGTGGAGGAAGGGCATCGGTAAGCTGTCCTGACCGGCCCGCCAAATCTTGTTCGAACATCTCTTCGAACAACACACCCTTACCTTTCGAAATGAGCTTCATCCAACTCTCAACGACGACATCATGCGCATCATCATCTTCGTGACCTTCATCGATGATTTCTTCCAAAAGCTGAGATTCTTCATCGGTACATTCTATGATAGATACAATATCCTGTGTAAACAAAAGAAAACACACATATATTAAAAACACCCAAGTACTAGTGAAAGTTTCAATGAATTGTACAACTAACCTTAGTTTGACCGAGAACGTCATTGAGCTTCTTGAGCTGAAACCCTTTCAGCGACCCTTTCTTGAACTTCCTCCTACACATCCGTGGACACTCTATGTCCGCGTCTGGCCTAAATTCAATGAATTCATCACCAAGTGTAGGAATTGCCTCAAAAGCCAATAACTACACAACATATATAATTCATGTTAGCACAAAAGAAGTTAACAATCACAATGAAATTCGATTAGACAAACCACTAACCTCCATCGGGATACAAAATCCCGAAACCGGCCAAATTGCTTTTTCGTTCTCCACTACCCCATCAAAATGGCACATAGTGTGCGAGATCGACTTGACCATGTGCTCAAACGAGTACCTTCCCCAAGGAAAAGTAGCACAAAACTCCAGATCGTTAACCGCTCTTAGACATAGGCGATCTACGGGCGCTGCATTCTTACCCGAGTTCTTGGTCTCCCCGACAAGGATACTCACTAAAAAGTAGAGTACCATCATCTTCAACCTGTCATGACTACGATCCGGAACCATCGTCTTTAGCTTTTCCTTGACGTCTTCCAATCTTACCCTCGTAAGGTTCTTGAAGTGCTTCTTCTTGAACCTTTCACTTCCCGCGTTCATGTAACCCTCCGGATATGCACGACAATCCAAACCCGACATTAAAGCATGCTCTCTCAATCCATACCGGATTGGGACACCGTTTACCACGAACCAAACTTCCTTCTTTTTTTCTACGCAAGCCGTACGAAGAAGGAGCATCCACATTCCCATAACCTTGTGGTTTGGGTCCTCTGGCAAGTGGAATATGTGCTTGAACTGCATATGGTCGTCAAACCACTCCTTCTCGCTCTTCGTCATAGGAATATCCAACCCTTCTTTTAGTACAGACAAAGTTTCATGGATATGGCACTTTGTCGATAGCTTTATCTTCTTGTTGTACTGACTCGGTGGGAAGTACATTCTTAACGGCTGCATTGGTGTCTCGTCGTCGGAATCCTGCAAAAAACAGTAATATTGTCTCAGTTCTACCAGTTTTACGCACACAGTTTTACCAGTTGTACCTAGTTTCACAAACACAGACAGTTATACCAGTTATACCCAAACGGTTGTACCCAAACGGTTGTACCCAAACGGTTGTACCCAGTTTTACCTTGTTTTACAACACAATCAGTTTTACTTATAGTTCTACCAGTTTTACTTAACCAGTTTTACCGAGTTACACCTAGTTTCACAACACTACCAGTTTTACTCAATGTTCTACCAGTATTACATGACAAGTTATACCCGGTTACACCTAGTTTTATAACATTACCCATCTTACTCAGTTATATAGCCAGTTCTACCAGTTATACATGCACAGTTGTACCCAATTGTACTAGTTTCATCAGAATTGTTCTACCTACTTTTAACGAAATACCATACATCAATTGAATCAAACACCAAATCGTTTAAGAGCCTTACATCGTTTTCATTCGAGTTGGTTCCCAAGTTCTCGCTTTCCTCGTCATTATCTCCATCTTTCTCTTTAGAACCTTCTTCTTGTTCTTCTCCTTCTTCTCCTTCTTCTCCTTCTTCTCCTTCTTCTCCTTCCTCTCCTACTTCTCCTTCTTCTTCTTCTTCTTGTTCTTCATCTACTTCTTTATTTCCTTCTCCTTCTTCTTCTTCTTGTTCTTCTTCTTGTCCATCACTCTCCGATCCTAGAGTCTCAGAACTATCCTCACCGTCTCCTCTTAACATCACCATCTCTCTTACTTCTTTCTCGCCGCCGCCGCCCCTCTCGTCCTCTGTCGCCTCTGGTTTATCGCCCATTGGTCCTTCTTCGTCCGCAATTGGAGTATTGGGCGTCTCATCGTCCGCCGGCGGAGTATTAGGTGTCTCGTCCGCCGAGACGAATTCTTCATCGCCCCCTTTCTCTAATTTTTCCGCCCCTTCTTCCTCCGATGCGGGTTCTTTGGCCGCCACTTTTGCGAGTTCCTCCAAGCCTACTTCCGCCGGCGTCGACAACACTTCTTCATCTTTCTCTTTAACTCCTCTAACTTCTCTTCCTTCAACAATTTCTTTCTTCTTTCCCCTTCTTGTTTCAACCATATTTCTTCCAATCGATGTCAATACTCTTTGATTCTTAATGGAGATGATTGCTCAAGATGTTTAACCTCCTACTCGAATTCAAAACTTAGAGAGAAAAAGAGAAGAAGAAGAAACGGAAACGGTTCGAAGAGAAGGAGAAGAGAAGAAGAAGAAAAGAAAAAGAAAAACGC